ATCATTGTATAACTGAAACCCAAGCACAAAAACTTGTAAGTCCACAACTGTACCTCATGGTGTTTCACTAATAAAAAGTAAAAAAAAGAAAAAATAAAATTAAAAAATTGCCCTAAAAATCAAAGATTATTTCTATGTCTATAAAGTAAATGAAACGAACAATTGAGCAATATTTACTTTTTTCCCTCACAGCCAGAATTTCTTTTTGTCGTTAGCCACTTAATTGACTTTATCAATTTGTTTTCGGTCACAGGGAGAGATTCTGTTGAAAAGAAGGTTCTAATTATGTCCATTTATGTTTTTCTCCACTGGAAATCAGGATATTCTCACTTTCAAACTTCAGAGTGATTAATATTGCCTGTCCACGTTGTATTTTGTTAGTACAAGAAGAATAGGAGAGGAAGGGATGATCCTATAAAATTATATGACAAGAGCTTAATTCTAATTCTTCTCAAAATCGTACTTAGCTTATAATGTATTAGTTATTATTTTCATCCCACTGTTTGATAAGATGCTTCTGTTGAATCTCCATGTTTTATTTTCTGAGTAGCCTACTGTTTTGATTTCTAGCTCAACATCAAATTACTTTGAAAACTTGTGCAAAATTTCTGTGTTTAAAGTGATGAGAGTGTAGGGTTCCTAGTTAATGAGTAAGTTGTAGGGAAATTTTATAAAGTAGAAAAAACGTCAATATAAAAAGAGTAGAAAACATTTCACCTCTTACAAAGATTTCTTTTTATGGTTTGAAGACAATTTCTACGAAAAATAGTAACGATTCCTCTTAAAATGTGTATATGAATGGAAATCTCCATATAAAATCATTTTCTTTTACAAATAGCTTTGAATATACATGCCATGTTTAAAACATAGAAGAAAACTGAATACACACAGTTGACAAAAGAAATAAATAAATTTAATTTCCATTGCCCAGTGAAAATTTATACTCTCTGTATTTTCCTCTCTCCACAATCTTTGAGCATTTTCTACATTCAGATAAAATAAATCGCACATCTCGATTGAATTATACAAGTCTATACCCCATTTTTTGGTGAATAGACATATACACTGAATAACCTATAAACCTGATTTAATTAGAAATACTTTCAGTGACACAACTTAAAAGTGGAGGTTTTATTACACAGAGTTTATCATTGCAGAAAATAAAATATTTCTGGACTAAGATGATGCCTCTCTTGAAGCACTGCTACAGACTCTACTGAACACATTTTTCTCTAACATTGCTGAATAAAGAAAAAGAACAGACTCATTTATAAAAATAATAGAAACTGTTCTTTCTTTGCTAAATGTTAATTTATAGTCACTGTCACTGTCATTGTCCTCCCGTTGTTCATCGATTTGCTCGAGTAGGCCCAGTAACGTCTCCATTGTGACAATTGTTACTGTGTTTGGTGTATCGAATACATCACGGGGAGCTTGCCAGGCTTTGCCCAGCGGGTGAGATATTCTTGGTAGCTTGCCAGGCTCTCCGAGAGGGGCGGAGCAATCGAACTTGGGTTGGCCATGTTGGCCACTTGCAAGGCAAACAGCCTACCACTATGCTATCGCTCCAGTAGATGAAACAATAATTATTCCATTCTGTAGTACAATGGAATTGAAAGAGCTATGCTTGGAATATCACGTTTCACTCAAATGAGAGAAAGAATGCGGAGTTCCAACATCCGTCGACGATCAAGAAACAGGGATGCTGTCTCGTTTGCCAAGGTGTCAAAAATCAGATGGGCTGGTCACGTAATGAGATTTAAAGACGATTGCTGGACTAGAGCTGTTACCGACTGGATCCCACGGGATGTCAAAAGACCGCGTGGCCGCCCACCTACCAGATGGTCAGACTTCTTCATCAAGATTATGAACGATGGGTTTGAGGCTCTTCATGTTCCCAGAGCGAACAGATGCCATTGGGCTACACTGGCACGCGACAGGGAAAAATGGAGATGTTACTGGTGCCCACTTGAACAAATCGACGACTAACGGGAAGTTAAGTGATTAAGTGATTAAGTGTAGTACACAGTTTAGTATTATTCTTATTTTATATCTATGTTACAAGTAATGTAATAATTAAAATATCATTTCTTTGGTTAGATTAGTGGGTTCTAAGGAAAGTGCCTCCCATAGAGGGAGACTGGGGGTAGGGGTTGGGAAGTTGAAGGATGATAGTGGGGAAACGGGTGACATTGGTGGTGGGATGGAAGGAGGAGCGCTAAATCATTGTATGACTGAAACCCAATTATGAGCAGATTTATAATGGTCTACCTCACAGATACCCAAATAAAAAAATTAGAAAAAAATGTGGAGTTCATGCCCAATTCAATCAGCTTAAGCAATGGCTGATTAAGTAGCAATACTCCTACACTAAAAAAAAATAGTGAGCTCTACTGGGATTTCTAAATATGTGTGTAAGTATATACATAACATACTATAACAAACAAACACTGTCCTCCCATTGTTCATCGATTTGCTCGAGCGAGCCCAGTAACGCCTCCATTTTTTGAGACTTGTTGCTACTGTGTTTGACATATTGAATACGTCACGGGTAGCTTGCCAGGCTTTGCTGTGCAGGTGAGATACTCTCCATAGCTTGCCGGACTCTCTGAAAGGGGTGGAGGAATTGAACCCAGCTCGGATGGGCTGGCTGCGTGCAAGGCAAATACCCTACCACTGTGCTATTGCTCCTTATAATTTACTTATTGTAGTTTGGGTCCCATGATTTCCTTAGCGTTGGGTCTAGTGGTTTAATATTATAAATTGCAGTACCTTAATACATTTTATATGTATCAATGTATTATATGTATATGTATATTTATGCGTGTATATGAATATGAAAAAGTCCTTCCTTTTTTTTACATGTAGGGAAATACTTTCTATATAATATTCAAATGGATGCTCTAAAGTAAATTTAATATTACTTGCAGTATATATTTTCATATGTCAAATATGCCTGAACTGGCTAGTAAATTGGAAGAACTTAAATTGAGGAAAGTCAACCAGCTGAGGATGGGAATTACTTATCAATGAATCATTTAAGACAATTTCTTTTGAGAAATTTTAAAAATCAAAACTAGAATGCAAAACACTTATCTTGCTAGAAAAATAGTGAAGTAATTCACTAGGAAAAAATATTCAAATTATATTAAAAAGTGTAAATGAAACCAGATCAAATCTATTGCTTGAGTGATACTTAAGAAATAAGAGGTTGAATTTTTGGGTTGGAGTGATAGCACAGCGGGTAGGGCGTTTGTCTTGCACGCGGCAGACATGGTCGACTCAAATGGTCCCTCTTGGAGAGCCTGGCAAGCTACCAAGATTATCCTGCCCACATGCCAAAGCCTGGCTAGCTACCCATGATGTATTCGATATGATGAAGACAGTAACAAGTCTCACAATGCTACTGGGCCTGCTCGAGCAAAATTGATAAATCGATGAACAGGAGTACAGAGACAGTGACAGTGAATTTTTTGGTATACATCTTATCATTTCAAAATACTTTTATAAGGAAGGGCAGCCAGAAAGGACAAATATTCCAGGAAATCAAAACATTAAAATAATTCCTTTGATGGGCAGGGTGGGTGCCTTGCATTCTGTTTGTTCCCACCCTCCCCCTACCTGTGCGGCAGATGATTCCCACCTCACTCTGTTTCTACCCTGATTACATTCAATATTTTGACACCAGACCCCCCATTATTATTCGGGATTTTACACCAACACTCAGATCTGCTGAAAAGCCAACAGTAGACAATTTGTTTTCTATTTCTAGTTACGAATAACATATGATGTCGTGTGGCTGCAGCAGTGGCCACTTGATTTTGAAATTCGGAAATTTTAACAACTAAATCTGGAGGGATATCTGCCCAAACCTGCTGAGTTCCAAGATTTGTTCCTGAGTCTCTTGGATCATGGCTGTTAAGCAGCTTGCTCAGGAGCCAGAAAGGCCATTCGTGGGTGGTGACTTGGGGTCTTGTTGGGTTGGGGAGGAAAGGGCCGACTCCATGCCCATCCTGTGAGGCCCTGCGTGTCTCATCACTGAGGGCCCAAGCTTGACTGTCCAATGGCCTCTAGCAAATGGTGGCCACATAGCCGCCAAGGGGGAGCAGGTGGAAGGACAGCACTGTTTCCTCCCTGGGGTGGCCTGGCGACAGTAACCTACTGCGGGGTCCGGTCGCATTTCTGCCAAAAGCCGCTGGGTTTTGAGATTTGTTTCTGAGTCTTTGGGACCATGGCCGTTTAGCAGTACAATTAGGAACCAGAGAGGCTATGCCTCCAAATTATATAGCTGAGCCGGAAGTGATTTGTGGGTGTGTCTCTGTGTCTCCCACATACCTAACTTTCAGCAATTTACTTTTCTTGGTAAAACTTTGCACCAAGTTTTTGGGATCTTGCCAAAGGCAGAGAAGCAATTTTGGAGTTTCTGGAAGTCAGAAGGCACCATCAGGCTGCTGATGCACTTGCCTCACAGGTAAAGATTGACCTGCTGATGGCACCATACCCTCTAGAAAAATGTTTCTTTAGATGTTTTTTGTTTGTTTGTTTCTTTTACAACATCAGAAGTAATTTGAGACCCTCATCAGTAAAATTAGACCCAGTGTTGTTAAAAACAACAAAACTAAACAAAACATAGTCTTATTGGCTTTTCCTTCATCCATGCCTCTAGTCCCAATACATGCATCAAACTGCTCTGATTTTCATCTGATTTACATCTGAATAAGCTAATTTCATTAACTCAAACCTTGCCCTTGAAGTTGTTTTTTTTTTTCTGTCACCTATGGTGACAGAAATATAGTCAATGAAGCCTTATAAATAAACTAGGATAATGAAGGGGATCAGGTAAGTCTATTTACATTCCTTTATTTTACAATAATAAGAATATGGCTTATTCATCTAGAATTAATTTTATTACCTTTAAAGAAAACATATTTTATAGAATGAACAATTTTGCTTAAAATAGAAAAGTTAAGAAGATACATAAAATTGAGTAATAGGCTTACAGTGTTCTCTGGCTCTTGAAGAAGTTCTCCCACACATAATTGTTTGTAAACACACGTATAACATTATCATAAAGGAAGACAAAATCTATTATTTTCATCATCTCATATTTATTAACTTTGAAACAGTTGATCAATATTTAAGCATTTTAAATCTTAGGAAAAGGGATGAAGGTCACTAAAAAACCAACAAACAACTTGATACTTGATTCTTGAAGACTATACTATCTATTGATAATTTTGATAAATTTAATTTGCTAAAACTGTGTAGATTAAAGGCATTTATTGCTAGACAATTATAGTAGAATTAAGATTTAAGATGTATCCAATATGACCCCTTATGAAATACCACTTAGTTGCAAACAGAACTCAGAAATTCATATTATTATTTGGCATATGAAGCTTCACGTAGGAGCAAAAGAAATAGACAATTTAATTTTGATTTTGAAACTAATTTAAAAGTAACATCAACTTGATAACTCCTCAATAAAATATAGTTGAATGAAATAATGTACAATGAATTGAGCAAATAAATGAGATGATTCATCATATTCTTAACAGTCATTATGTCTTAATTTATAGCTATGTAAAAAGAACGTCCTACTTTAAGCTAGTATATTGATAACTTATTTTATATTCTATATAAGTTGTGGTGAAATTGAAATATGAAATGAAGTAATTATTAGTGGATAAATATTTTCTTCATGGAAACCTTACATAATATTATCTTATGGAACAAATGAATTACTCAATATATTATTTCTTAATTGAAATAAATGTCATACCATAATTTTGAATTTAAAACAATAAAAATTTTATGAAAATTTGCTTTTATAAATATTTGTCATGATAAATTTTATGCTAAATTATGTTAAAATATTTTTAACCAAAACTTAAAGCAGTGACTACTAGTGGAATTAGAAACTAAGATTAAGTACAACTCATTCATTTACTCTTATTATAATAAGAATATTCCATCTCATAACACTTCTCTTTCTTTATGCTAAAATAAACCTCTTCTCTGCTGGCCAAATTTTCCACCTCCTACACAGCAAATCTACTTGGCAGAGAGTACTTGAGTTTAGAAGTTACAGGAGTGTTTTTCCAGAGGCCTTATAAATTTCTGTTAACTCATGCTAAATTTTAAGTCCAGGAATAACTTATCTTTTGTTTTGAAGACAAATTCAATATACACAGTAGACCTGCGTGCCTAAAGTTCAGAAATGTCTTTCAACAGCTATTGTTGAAAAACACTCTTTTAAGTTCTAAACTCAAGTACCTCTGTTTGAAACATGAACAAAACAGATCTTATACTTTGATGAGTAAATTAAAAATAATTTAAATAATTTCAAATAAACCACTTTCTAAATGCACTATTGTCTAATGTCTTATTAAACACAGTATGTAAACATTACACTATTTTTTTTTTGCGAATCATTAACAGGAAAAGGTTGAGCCTGTTTTAAAAATTGTTTTTGTTTGACACCAGACTGTGCTAGTGGTTAACTACTTTACCTTGATTGCCAGTTACTTTCATCTTTTAATTGTGTGTATAGTTATTATTCTCACAATCAGCCACTGTTCAAAATTATCCACCAGTTGTAATTTAACAGAGTGGAAAGTTAGGGCCCACAAAATTCCCAGCCTTGACAAATGAATAATAATTTTCATTTACTGGTTCTAATTCTTTATGTTCTGACTTGCAGGTGTTTTTCGCAGTTCTTTCAGAAAGTAAAATTTATGAGTCTGGTAACTGTATTTTCCTTAGATCAGAAAGCTCCCCCAACCCCATTTTTAATCTCATTCTGTATTTGAGGCTGTTCTTTTTTAGTTGAGTCAGACTGAAATTTGAATATGCCCAGAGAAGTCGAATTTCATAATCATTGCCTAAGAAGTCACAGACAATGGACATGAGAGAAGTAAAAATGTTCAGGAGAATATATAAAGCATCATTTTCCCTTATATCCTCAATAATGAACAAATAGTATCAGAATAATGGATCATATAACATTTTACAGAGACATATTCATCTTCAGATATTATTCTTCAATTACATAAGCATAAACGGTAAATTTATATTGGAGGAACTTTATTGTACAGTATTTTTGATTATTTTTCAGAAAGAAATAGGGGGAATTAACCACTTCCTGAGTAACTAAAGTATGTATTTTAATAGCCCATGGATTAAAATGATCTATATAATTTAATTAAGTCATAACAATACTGTGATATAATGGCTTGAAGGTCAAGCTTTGGGAGAAATTTGCAGAAAGTCAGTTCCTTAGAAGTTTATTCATTAGAAGTGTGTGACTTCACTGAAGTATCTTCCATATTGCTATGACATCTCACTCAAGGAAGTCTGTAAAATAAAAGTTGAAATTTTTCAGATTAATGAGATATCTGTATATACATGGGGAAATCCGTAAAATTTGGTTAAAACAGTTCAAAGCTGAATTATATGATTAATCATTATAGCTTTTATATATGTGGCATATTTTTGTAAATATAATAGTGAAAAATGATAATTTCTGATCAAAATCTCTCAAACAGATAATTTTAAACATAGACACTTGTGCTCAGTCATGGTTCCTTTGGGAGTGACACCTTTTATACTCTATTTCTTTTTCAGCATTTAATTTTGGTTTAAAAGACATTGCCATGAAAAAAATAAAGAACAGCTTATTACTACTTTATTGTTAGTAGTTACAATAACATGTTGATAGTTTCTTTTTTGCTTGCTTGAAATGTTCAACTTTATATTAATTTTTAAGCATATTTCTTTTAATTGAAAGTTATTTCATATTTATTTGAACAATGATGTAATGGTATATCACTATCTAAAATAAAAATTATCAGTATAATTTAGTAACACTTGCCTTAAATTATTAAAGGAAAGTTCTTTTTTTTTTTTTTGCTTTTTGGGTCACACCCAGCGATGCTCAGGGGTTATTCCTGGCTCTGCAATCAGGAATTACTCCTGGTGGTGCTTGGGGGACTATATGGGATGCCGGGGATTAATTGAACCCAGGTTGGCCACATGCAAGGCAAACGCCCTACCCTCTGTGCTATTACTCTGGCCCCTAAAGGAAAGTTCTTATTGCATGTGGCAGCAAGGAGTAGGACAAATAATGATCATATTCCTATCAAATTTCATCCGATAGGCATCCTGATTTCAATGAAAAAGACCTAGAACTGTCTTGATTCGTCTAGAGAAGTTATGAAATCTTAAACAAACACAAATATGATTATTTAGACCCGAGGCCTAAAAGAGTATTCTTAGCTTTGATACAATATACTAAATATTTGAGTTGATATAAGCTGCTAATTACTAATTGTTTTAGAATATTTGAAAGGAAGAAAAATGGCTTAAAATAAGAGAGTTAGTTCTAATAAGATGCTTCTGGGATTTCTGCATAATTTTTGTGAGGATTACTTTGAGAGAAACATAAAACAGTTTTCTCTTTTGTAGCCTAAAATTGTCAAAGCAGGTCTAGGTTGTCTTATCTGTTCAGAAAGAAGAATACTCCTAAAAATGTTTATTTTGAGAAAATAGATAGTCTGAGTTTTATATTCACAAACTTTTAGTCTTTAAAAAAAATAAATAAATAAAAATAAAAGATGTGACTGAATATACTTTATTAAATAAATACAAGGATTCAAAGCTTTCTTATTTGAATTCTACTTGCATCACACTAGCTAAGTTGCATTGTGAGAAGCTTACTTAAAATACTTGCATCATCATCTTAATAATAAGTGTTCACAATGAACAGGCACTATTCTGAGTACTTAATATTTATCGATTCATTTAGTCTTCAGGAAAACGCTACATGATAAAAATGAATATGATTCTGATTGTAGGGGAGAGGGTTTCAGAACATAAGGAAAGGTCCATTCTAATAGATGATCTTGTATTTGGCCCACATATACTAGCCTCTCCTGCAATCACTCTTATCCCTTAACTGTATTGCTTTTCAAAATGTTGAAGATAGTAATGGTACCTACTTTATGGGAAAAGATGATTAAATAAATCAATGTATGTATACTTGTAAGTATTGAACTGAGCAGAGAGTAAAATTTTAGAATTGTAATATGAACTACAATCTATTGCATGTATTATTTATTTGATATGTCCTTGACTTCTAAAAACCATTTAATTTTAATATACTATCACTATTCAATTGTCCAAATGTATACATATGATGTAGAGAAATAATCTCTCTAGATACAAATAAATTAATATATGGGGGATGGGATTAGAGTTTGGATTAGGTGGTTTAACTCTATAAATAATATATTTTGCTACACCATTAATTTTCCTATGCTTCATGTTATAGTTTTAGGAATGTAGTAGCAACAAACAGTATATATATATATATATTGCTAAAATGTGTCTTTTTAACAATAGAGGATTGCTCCACATTTATGTATATTTCTGAATGTAATTTATTATGTCAGTTCAAACTTTAATTATGCCTTTATGTTAATATTCAAAATTACATACAAGTCTGTAAGAACAGACAAATCATTTTTTTGGTTTTAGCATGATAGGACATATATGTGCTACTTTAATGCAATTTTAATTTTTATCAATATGCTACTTGAATATAGAAATATTCCAAAACGTTGATTTATAAACTAGCCAATAAAAGTGGAATTGATAAGTCAAGAAAAATCAATTAATTCTTAGTGGTAAAATGTTAATAAAAAGCCTGCTTATATTCTGACTTACTCAAATTGTACTCACTAATGAAATCAATTAGCCTCTGGAATTTGAAAGCCGGTTTCCACCAATCCGATCCATGGGAATACCAAATCGCCTTTTTGGATGATTTACTACTTTCCTGAAACAAACCAAGATGAAAATTTTAAACCTAAAGTCCAAGTTATTAACATTTCTTTTTTCCTTTTATTTCAGGCAATTTAAGGCTTTCTTCAAAATTTGGGATAAACATGAAAGTTACAATTTCTTAGCATCCACTTTGTATCTGACACTACTTCTAATCTTGTCATTGTCTGTCCAAGTAAATATTACCTACACTTTACATCAGAGGAAAAGAAGGAAATTAACTTGTTTAATAACAAATATCTCCAGTGAGAAGACAGGTATTATAAGCATAGCAATCTGCTGAAAGTGTTAATTTCTGGTAATTCCTTTGTCCTCTACAGATTTTGGTGTACTCCTTTATTATTGAGGAAGACTGTACTAGGTCACAGGATTTTCCCAGTGTCTGTCTCAGAGCTGGGAAGGGAACTGCATATTGACGCCAAAACTGAAAGGAAATCATGACCATATCTTCACTCAGATTTTACTTATAGAATTTTTTTACAGTGTGGTATATATACATGTCTATATATGCACATGTATATATATATATATATTCCTATGTATATGTATGCATTTCTGTGTGTCAAATATTATTTGGGAGAAAAAAGTTTCACCCATAAAATGGAGTTTAAATAATATTATAGGAGAACTTTCAACTTGTATGTTTATTCTCTGGAAAGGAAGTCACATTTTATTTTGATATAGGTCAATTTGTTTTGTTTTGCTCTTGTTCCCTTTTCAATGGACTTGAGTCTCCAGTTAGGAGCCTCCAATTAGGTCTAGAAATGACTTGTCATATTAATATATGTGTTTATTTGCGGGCATTTCTATTTTATTCTACTAGTCCCTATGAGTATTTTTTTGGTTGTTCAAATAACTTAATTTCAAATAAGTGAGTTTGGTTGGGGGAGGCATAGGAGTTGGTATGTAATGGTGTTCAGGGACTCTTCCTGGCTCTTTGCTCAGGGGTCATTATTGGAGATATTTTGGGAAGCTTATGTAGTGCCAGTGATTGAAAATGAGTTGACTATATGCTACGCAAGTGCCTTATACTGCATCTGCAACAAACTCTAAAATCATTATTGTTATCTACAGCATGTTGAAGTTAAGAAGGGAAATGCCTCTATTTTCTTTACTCTAAGATTGATTCACTCTCGGTCTCTGTTTCTGTGTGTGTGTGTTTGTGTGTGTGTGTGTGGCTGTGTTGTGTGTGTTTCCAAACAAATAGCAAAATTTTTTGTTCAATTTTCTTGAAAAACACTTCAGGTATTTTGTTAGGAATTTCAGTGAATCTGTAGATTGTTTAGATAAGGTAATCATTTTAATAAAAATCATTTTACTTTTTTCATTCCAAGAACACGGGGTGATTTTTTTTTATTTCTTTGAATTTTCTGTTTGCGTACAAATGTCAAGGATACTTTCAAATTATTCATCAGACAAAGGATTTAGAATCTGAAATATATAAATAATGCATACAATCTCACAATGAAAAAAGTGAGCAATCCAGTCAAAAATGGGCAAAAACCTCAACACATTTCTTCAAAGAAAACTTACAGATGGCCAACACACATGATAAAAATATTCAACACAACTCATTAAGGATATGCAAATAAAAACCATAAACCTTACACCAATGAGAATGGTCTAAATGAACAAAATTGAATACAAATGTCAGCATGAACGTGAGAAAATGGAACCTGCTATAGTGCTTGTAGAAATAGAAATTGAGACAGCTTTAAAAGAAATAGTATGGAATTTTCTTAAAAAGTTTAATAAAGGAAACAGTTTTTGTATAGCAGTGTCTTTTCTTGCATTTATCCAAAGCCTATAAAAAGATAGAAAAGGTTAGTCATGATATTTACATACAAGTGGTACTACATGGATAGTATCATGCTAAGCGAAATGAGTCAGAAAGAAAGGGACAGACATAGAAAGATTGCATTCATCTGGGGAACATAAACTAACAAAATAGGAGACTAACATCCAAGAATAGCCGAGATAGGTACCAGGAGGTTTACTCCATGAATTGGAGGACAGCCGGAAACACTAGGGGAAAAGGCAGCTCAGATAGAGAAGGGAGCACCAAATAAAGGGTGTTGGGAGGATCCTCCCAGGATGAGAGATGCATGCTGAAAGTAGACTACAGACCGAATATGATTGCCAGGAGAGAGAGAACAAAAGGGAATGCCCTGCCACAGAGGTAGGTTGGGATGGGGGGTATGGGGGGTTGGAAGGATACTGGGATCAGTGGTGGTGGAGAATGGGCACTGGTGGAGGGATGGGTACCTGATCATTGTATAGTTGAATCTCAAGCACAAAAATTTATAAGTCTACAACTGTACCTCATGGTGTTTCACTAATAAAAATTTTTAAAAAATGTATTTGCAGATCAGAGAGACTTGGGAAAGATACTTGCCTTATAGTCAGCTGACCCAGATTCTATGTGTGGCACCACTACTGGTCCCTCAAGCATCACCCAAGAATGATTACTGAATGCAGAGCCAGAAGCAAGTCCTGTGCACCATTGAGTGTGTCCCAAAATCAAATCAAATCAAATCAAAACAAAATATACTTTTGTACCTATGTTTGTAATAGAAATATCCATAATTGTCAAAATATGGAATTAATTTAAATACCCAATGTCAGATACCTGGATTAAGAAGCTATGATATATAAACTCCATGAAATAGCCCTCTCCCATTAACAAAGAGGAAATTGTGCCTCTGAACATAAAGCCAAGAGGAGCTCCTGGCACCAGGTTTGGGTTTTGGTCCCCAAACAGAACAAAATGAAAAAGATAATAGGAGTTGAATGAATGAGCTGAATGAGATGAATGAATGAATGAATGAATGAGAAGGTGAGCACAGCAATATGAGAAGAATTTAACCTACCATTGCTGATCTGCAAGTTAAAAATGAGGTCACGGGTCAGGGAGAGTGATGATGTAAAAATTGATCACTTGATCACCTGACATCCCGTTACTCATTAATTTGCTCAAGCGGGCGCCAGTAACATCTGCATTCGTCCCTGTCGCGTGCTAATGTAGTCCAATGGCGTCTGCTCTTTCGAGGAACATGAAGAGCCTCAAACCGATTGTTTAGGGTCTTGACGAAGAAGTCTGACCATCTCATAGGTGGACGGCCACACGATCTTCTGACATCCCATGGAATCCAGTCGGTAACGGCTCTAGTCCAGTGGCCGTCTCCAAATTGCATTACTTGTTTGGCCCATCTGATTTTGGATGCCTTGGCAAACGAGGCAGCGTCCTGATTCTCGATCGTTGACGGAGGTCAGAACTCCAGATTCCTTCTCTCACTTGAGTGAAGCGTGATACTCCAAGCACAGATCTTTTGATCCCTCTTTGGGAGACCTGAATAGTGTTCTCATCCTGTTTTTGTAGGGCCCAGGTCTCTGAGGTGTATATTAGTGCAGGGAGAGCAGTGGACTCAAAAAGATGTGCCTGGAATCGGGATTTCTTCATCCTCTTAGCTATTTCTTCAACACTCTTGAAGGCATTCCACGCCTCTCTTTTCCTACTGCGCAACCGAGGTGCCAGGGAGTTCGTCATATTGACTTCTCGACCTGGGTACACATAACTGCTGCACTCGGAGATATTCGTTCCATTGTCCATGAATGGAATGTCAGGAATGAGTCTGTTTCTCATGAACATTGTCTTGGTCAGATTTAGCTGCCGTCTGACCTTTCCACACTCACGGTCGAAGCCGGCCAGCATTTGTGCTGCTTGGCTAATGTTTGGTGTTATTAGAATGATGTCATCAGCAAAGTGGAGGTGGTATAGTTGCCAAATGACTACCTTCACTCCCATTCCTTCCCATTGCAGTCATAGCATGATATTCTCAAGGGTGGCACTGAAGAGTTTCGGTGAAATGGTGTCACCCTGCTGAACCTCACTCTTGACATGGATGATCACTTCCTCGTAGAATGTTAAGATCCTGGTGGTGAATCCGTAATACAGCTCACAGAGGATCCTGATGTACTGAGTTTGAATGCCCTATCTGGCTAGGGCTTCAATGACTGCTTTAGTCTCAACATAATCAATGACCTAAAAGTTACCCAAAGAAAACATGGCCTTCAGTCCTACAACAAAGCAGATCTGAATTTCTGTAACAACCTGAATGATCAGGAAGAGATTTCCCTCACAAGCATTCTAGAGTCTTAAAAAAAAAAGGAAAGATCATGTTAACATCTTTTCCTGGCAGACCAGGAAAAACTAAAGAGCGGAATAGCATAAAGCAGAAAATTTGGGTAGAGGGAATGCACTAGCTATGTTGAGGCCTTCTCGCTCTGTGCTTAGTGATAGCTCCTGGTGAGGCTTGGGGGACCATATGTAGTACCAAGAATTAAATCTAGGTAGGCAGCAACCAAAGAAGTGCCCTAGCAATGCCCTACCCACTGTACTATCTTTCCAGCCCACAGAGGAGACATTTTAGAAGTGCTCTAGTGACTAGAGATCAATCATATGACAAAATGTTAAATAGTGGCTGATGACACACACACACACATACACACACACACACACACACATACATATATATATATATATGTCTAGCCTGCAGAATTATATGATAATTTTGGCCTAATTTTGTAGTGAATATGTACTAATTTTGTACTAATATCAGAAGTATATAGAAGTTTGTTGTAACAGGAATTAAAAAAAAGACAGTATATTTGTCCGTACAATTTAGAGTAATGTCTAGATTCAATGTGGTTAATATCTTTAAAATAGTAAATTGGTGGATTTTTAATTCTTTGCACCAAAGTTTCTTCACTGCTGCCACTTCAGGAAAAGGATATGACAGAAACAATCTCAGAATCTATACAATGCTCAGAGGAAGTCCCAGACCATTAGTAAGAGGAAGTGAGAAACCAACCCCTCCAGGTCTTTAAATAGACAGATGAAAAGTGCAAGAAAATGGCAACGTGGCCTAATATTATACATGTATACTGAGCTCGCAATGTCTCTGTGAATCAATGGTTTCTGGAAAAAAATCTTTT